ACTGATCTGGGTCATTTGAACATAGCAACACTCTCCACCACTGTTTGGGGTGTTTCTCTGCACTTAAATTTTCTCATACATCTTCAAACTGTCATTTGACAGTCCAATTGCAATATGAAAAGACCAGGACTTCCTTTTATGCATCTATTTTTATGGTGTTTATTACCAACAAGAGAAACAGATAAATTTATATAAAATAGTTGAAAATAGCACTTCTATCACACAGTACATTTCTCTATCATATGTATGCTTTCCTTTGTCTTTTATTGCACTTTTTGACTCAGTGTGAATAGTCGCTTTAACCCTTCATGGTTTAACCTATGCCAGGTCTGATGCAGTCTCCCCATAGATAGTTTTTTAAGTCATTATCAGCAAATATTGCTTATGAATTGCTTTAAACAACGTCAGGGCTGCCATTTAGAACAGTTCCAATATTCAAGGATAAGGAGAGTCATAATATTCACAATTAGGATCTGGTTGTGGACATAGTTAATTGCTAAATTTTATTCAGCCGTAAATGGCGTTAGCAGCAAATCAGCTCACAGCTTAATACTACTGGCAATTCTAAATGGGAGAGAAATGATGTTCCTTTATCCAAGTTATTTTTGTATATGTTCTTATTTGCTTCCAGTAGTTTTGATATTCATGCTCAGATACAAGATATGGGGTAGGACTCCCTTTCAAAGAACAAAAAAAGTGAGAAAAAAAGATGAAGATATTTTTTAAATGTCATGGTAACAAGTCACAGTGAAATATATTTCATCGTTGTTTCAGTGAACATTTCTAATTCTCGTATAAAAGATATAATATATTCTCATCAGAAAGATTTTCTTTTGGCAAAGTTCTGAATTCTGAAAATAGCTTTTCGATGGCAGTGCCCACACCCTCCTACTACCAAAATAACAGCACTGTGATGTATTATTCCCTCTTGGTAATAAACATCATTGAAGCTGAACTGTAATTTGGCACACAACATTTCTATACTAATGTAATATGACAATGTTATTGTGTTCACTGTTTTCCATGTGATCATAGTCATATTCATCTTCCCCAACCTGACATTAAATTCACTAATACTATTACATTCTATTCTGGATCAATGGGTAAAGCAGAAAAGGATTATTGTAGCCTACTGGTTTGATGCTGGTGTGTCTGTGTACAAGTATGTATAGGTGATATGAAGATTTCATATAATGAATGTAAATTCTCAGACATGGCACATAGCAAGCAATCAATAAGTGATTATATCCAAGAGAAAGTCCACAAACAACTGTAATACGTAGTATGTACAAAAACTGTTGCTCTAAGATTTTAGAAGAAGGAAAGTTAAGACTCAGCTCAGAAGACTAGGTACATTTCCACGGGGTGACAGAATTTAAGTAGAGACTGAAAATGAAAATATATTTTTTTAAGCAGATACAGTGAAAGGAATGTATTGCAAGTTGAATGAGTGCATCCTCCAAGAAGAAAAATTAGCAGAGACCATGGTGAGGAAAGTGAGAAAGTATAATGTTGTTCAGAGAGCCGTAAGAAACATATCTCACAGTAACATGCCCTATGAACAAGGTTCTGCGATAGGTAAGGATGGAAATGAGAGCTAGGTTCAGATCATGGAGGTTTATGGACTCCTAAATGATGAACTTGGACAGTATTGTGTGCCTCTGAAGTATACTAGAAATCCTTAACTAAGATTCATTCGCCTAGTTGCATTGATTTAGTGAGTTGATATTATCAGCAATTACATGCAGTACAATATGCAAAATACTGCGCTTATGAGCCACCCCAAAATAAAGGACTATTTTCCCTGGGAAAAGCATATAGTTCAGCAGAGAATTAAGACCAAACACAGGTAACTACAAGGTAGAAAGTGAGGGCTGATAAAACAGCATAAACAAAACTTTACAAAAGTCAGGGGAGGAAAAAAATTGCCTTACTTAGGAGAATCAGAAAGAGCTGGTGGTATTTAAACTAAGGAGAACAGGATAGAAGAACAAAACTGGTGCAGAGGCATGAGATGAACTGGAAGACAAAGGACTAAGAAGTAAAAAACTCAAGATGGACAGTACTACAATAACCAGAAAAATAATATTGGGGTTCTAAAATATGATATTAATGTAAAAGAATTGAGGAGCTGAGTACACTACACTATCACACGTGCACACACACTCACATACACAGGGATTGTTTTTGTCAATGAGTAGGTCAATTTTCCAGGGAAGAAAGGGTTTCACAAAGACTTGTCTTTGACATCATTTTGCCTAAGTGCCTCCTTTTTGAAAGACTCCTTTAAGTTCATTAATTAGTATGATTTATCCAATATTATACTTACAAGCTAAAATGTATTCCCATCTTCCCATTGTTAATTATATCTCTAGGCTAACATAAATAAAATTTTCTAGTTATTCTTGTCCACTCTATGAAACTTCCCAGAGAGATGACATTTAGGAGGTCTACTGGGGGCTTTGAGGGGTCTCCTTTGCAATGCGGTGTGCCCTTTCCCCTTATAAAATGCTTTACTTATTTTTTTGTTTTCTATGCTGTTGGAGCCTGCAGTCACAGAATTTATGAATAAATACCTAATTTGAAAATATTTTTATTAAGAAATGAAATGCCCTAAATTTTTTTTTTTTTTTTTAGTCAACCACTATACAGAAGAGGAGTTAAAAATCTCAGGAATCACACTAAATCTATTTGTGCAACTTATAGAGAAACAATGAGGTGTAGAGACAAGGTTTATTTGGATCAATTTAAAAGGTGAAGAAAATGTGGTCTGCCACTTATACTGCTGTATCAATTGCACATCCTCAAGGTAATAGTTACTATTGTACCCTCTACAAACTATAGTTTCTATTAAAGTAAGATTTGCTATTAAATATGTATTTGTGCCTCCATGGTCTCACCATCAAAACTGCAAGGTACAAACCAAGAAACTATTTCACATTTCCAGAAAACCCACTAGGAGGTAATGATTTAATCAAAATGCATGTATTCTGAGAGCCCTCCAAAGTAATTTTAATGCTGATTTGTGCAAGAGGCATATCAGGAGACACATTTATTGGATGACATTTACCTTATTTACAAGAAAATAACAAATAGCCGTATCATTGTCATCACCACTACTATCACCCAAGAGCAGCATTCAAATAATTTTCTGTAAAAATGATTTGAAGGCAGCATGATACTGAAAGTAGGATCTTGATGTTCTTTTAGGAAAAGTCTGGCAAATACATACGGAAAATTATATTCTTCATACTTAACCAGTATATAAGGATACACAATCTGACACAACCAAATGGCAACTGTTTTGTAAAACATAGAAACTGGATTAAGTAATGTTTGGCAGAGAAAGTTCTTTAGCAAGAAGAAAAATGTTCTCATGCAAAAAAAATAAAAAATAAAAAGCTCTCTCAGCTACCACATGTAGTCATATATCTGTCATGATTAAACTCAAGATTAAAAACTTGCCATAAAAAATCATAACAAATTATCAGTTTTCTGGTTGTCCTTGAAAATAAGAGAATGTCATTTTCTGTGGGGCAGGAGCAAACACAGGAAGTCACTATTCTGTGTACACACATACCTATCTTTATTAAAAGCATCTATAAAATATTTACTTTGTTTTCTGTACATACAAGTATTTATCAAATCTTATGTAAGTTTACTCATATAACCCCAATGGAAGTGATTGTGTGATTTGATTTGTAGAAATACAGCATTTGCAAATGTGTGATAGCTTGAACACATGTTTATTGCTTCAAGTTTACCTGTAACTCTATGGAAGATGTTACTGTTAGAATGGAGACTCTTTCTCCATCTATGATCTTTACAGGTGTCTTTCAAGTACTATTTTACTTTACGTTAGTTGCCTGTTAGTTACTATATTCAATATTTTGGATAGGAAATTTGAAGATAGATGATGAATTGTACAACATTGCTAGGCAAAAACGCAGTTCATTGAAATATTATAGTTTGACCCCTGCCTTCAACATTGCGATACACATATCTACTGACACGAATAACATCTCAAATAGAAAAAGGTCAAAATGAACAAACTCCGGTCGTTCTTTAAATCCATACTCAGTCCAGTCTTTGCATCAAAGCCCAAACCTTCAATCATCACACTGCCCACCCCATCATCTGAGAGCTTTCCTTAAATGCTATAGCATTAAAAACAGGAAGCATACACCCTATTTTACAGCTAGGGAGCTTTTCCAGAAATATTTTCTCAATATAGTGAAATGTAACGTTTTGAAGGAAATGCCTTTATCATATTGATGAAATGCTGTAAATCATGGTCTATTTGAAAGTTTAGAAATGGAACATCATCCTCTATTTCAGTTAATGTAGCCTCAGAATCCTCACTGCAATCCCATAGATAAGGCACTAGCAGACATTTCATGATATAAGGTGAACACTGTGTTTCTTTGCCATGCTTATATTGTGAGACTAAAGGGGGAAAATCATCCACAAGCACCCACAAGTGGCTAAAATATAAGGGGGAGTATTTCAAGGACAAAGTTTAAACATGTTTTTAAAGCAAAAAGCAGGCATGGGCTTGAAGAGATGTAGAGAGAGGAAAAAACATAAGGAGACCTGTCATCATTTAGTGAAATTACAGCTCTCAAGATGTAATCCTATAAAGTTAAATATCACTTTACATAAAGCAATATGTAGTCTCTTTCATAAACCAGGGGTAAATTTCACATATAGGAAATAAAAATATTATTTTCAACAAGGTGACAATTAACAATTTAAAAAAAAATTTACAACAGTTTAAAACAAAAGAATTCACCTTCATCATCCTAACATTTAGCTAATAGCATCCTTGATTAATACTTTAGTATTTAAAATCATCCTTTCCACAGAAACAACTGTTTCTCCTGCTTATGACAGTGTAATTTAATCACTGATAATACGAAGAGCCCCAGTTTTTAGAACCTGGATATCACACAGTAACAGAAACAAAGGCGAGTATCAGTTGACTGCAGAGAGGCACTTACGGTCATTGCAGAGTGGCCCACTGAAGGAAGTCATACTACAGTCACAGCTGAAGCCATCCCACTGCTGCAAGCACACACCCTGATTGGAACATGAGTCCTCTTGGCAGGTTGTGCTGGGCCCTGCAAAAAAAAAAATCCAAAAGAAATTTGGGTTCTTATAAAAAAAACCCAAAAGTGTTTTATGCATGAGCTAGGTCACATATAGTAGTTGCCAACACCTCAAATTATATGACCAAACTAATGGAAGTTCTAGTTCACACACCTAAATTAGAAACAGAGAAGCTGTAATGTGAAGATTTTCAGAAGTTTCAAATATAGGACAAAATACATTATAATAGTACACTAAACCAGCAGATATTAAAAGCAAGCACGTAGCTTCTAGTATGTTCATGGTAACAGGGAAGCTCATTGAATTATCAATAATTCTCTATCACTGTTTAAATTTTAGAAAAATGAACGGATCTCCTTAACTTCTGACCAATGGATAGAGACGCCATGAGAAACAGAGATTATAACTTCATAAAATTGAGATAAGATTGACAAAAATAACTGAAGAGAGGTATGCAGAAATGTCCTAGGCATTCTAGACGTTACCCTCCACACACTATGAATAAAGTTATGATTGTTGGGTGTTTTGGATAGGTATGTTGGCAAGTATCAATTCGCATGCTTTGACAATTTCATGCAATTACACATAAAATGAATAACTCTTTATAAATGACATGCCCCATTTTAACATACAAGTAAAAAGAATGCTATTCTATTTCTAAAGAATCATAACTAGAACACTGAAAATCAACTAAAAGAAGGATGATCAAAGCACTAAAGGTAACCACTAAACAAACATATTCAAGACTGAAAGCCTTTGTGCCAACTATGCTACAGAATGAGGTTTCTTGCACAACGTTAAAAAGGGGGAAAATTAAATCTGAACCCAAACAACAGTTACTGCAAAAATGTAAAAACTGTTATTTTGAGGTTTCCACTGTGAATATGGGGTTTCAGTCTTGGTTTATACACACAGGGCTATCTACCTTGCAAGTCAGCTTTCATCAATGCAACTTTGTCAGCAAAATTAAAAAAAAAAAGCAAAATATATTAAATGTTAGTAAGCAATACTGAAATGGGGCAAACACAGAAGAACGTTCAGATTCAAAAAGCATGCTGCTGTAAAGGGGGAGAGAGAAATGCTATATAAAGCAAATAAATTAATACCAACAGCCATAAATTTTAAGCCAAAAATGAGAAAGCAGTAATTTATTAGAATTCTGCAATATATGTGCATATACATATATATAAAATGGTTAACTGAGCTGATGGCATGTAATGAAGGAAAGTTAAAAAGGCCTCTGTAGTTTTTGTCCTTTGGATAGAGATGAGTGCATTACCAAAGTGATTGCATTGCTTATTTGGAACCCGCAGCACAATTTGTCATGTATAAATACAGTGCAGACTGCGATCATTAGCAGAGAAATTATCCTTTTCCATTTCTTCCCCCTCTAGATCTTTTTTATCTTGCTACTGCAATTAAGTCTTAAAACTATAATGCCAGCCATTCATGCCAACAGCTGAACCCCAGAGTGACACCAAGCTAGCAAAATGTATATGTTGTTTGAAGTAAATGAAAGAATAAAAGGTGGAAGAAACAAATCTTTACAAAATTATAATGTGAGTTTTTTATCTTTGCTCTTAACAAGTTGGGTCAATACTGCTTAAGGGCTTCTGAGTTATGTTTGCATTTTCCCCGCCTTCATAATTGTCTTTCACTCTTATAAACTGCCCTTTGCACGTTTATCAAAATAGAATCTCACTAGTAATGACTGAATTAGAGAAGGTAAAAAAAGGAATGCTGTCTAGCCTAAATAGCTTCAGAGTAAAAATTAAAAATATTTTGTAGTAAACACAATTTTATAGGTTTTATGCAAATATCAAAACAGCCATCAGCCTAATCAGATGCTATTAACAGTGAGAGCCTTTGGGGTAAATGCTTTGGTGAATAAATGAGATTTATCTAAAATTAGCCTTTCTATAAATTAATGTTTTAGTAAAATGTCTATTTAAACATGCTCCTTACAATCCTATTTCTATTACAATTTTCTTAGTAAAGGTATTCATAGAAAGTTATTGGATTTAGGCTAACCTATGTGAATTTTCCTAAGTTTAAAAACTATAATATTGCAAATACTAATTATATAATAATAATTGGTATGGTAGTAATAATAGTTATTATTAGTGACAACTGTTATTAATAATAAAATAATCTCCCAGGCCCGAATAGATGTAATCGTTTGTGATACCTATTGCATCAAATAACTAAGAACCATTGACTGACTTGTTTAGTTTTCATTGTTCTTCCAGTCTGTGAGAGGTAAGTAGCTTAATGATCTTTATCCCATGGCATTAGTAACGGAAAATAATTAGTGTGTGTTTAAAAGAAGAAGAAGGAGGAGGAGAAGAAAAAGTCTTGAAGAAATGTTCCTTAGCAAATTCCTTCCTGGGATAAGCATGGGATCAGGGAGGGGCGCAAGCCCAGCTTGGGTCAGGGGCTGTTTTGTCAGCACATAGCTGCTCCCTCACTTGTCCAGTGGAAGAAAAGAACAGGAGCAAAAACCGATGAAGAGATCGATTTTTATTTTTGCAGAAATGATCCAGAATACAATTGCAAAATAATGCTAAGTTCTAAAAATGGTAAAACTGCAACCCTAATAAGTAATCTTCCCATATTGTGGAACAGCAACTCAGGGTACCTGCCAACCTTTATGTGAACATAAAGACATGCTTTATTACTATTTTTATCATTATCACAATAGTCTTTTTATGTTCATCTACTACAAGAGAATGCAAGCCTATGTCTGATGAGACACATTTTTCAAAGTACTCAGTTTCTAGAACAATATTTAAACATTGACAGGCATTTGCACAAGACAAAGCCCAGAATTTATTTTTCCCTTTAGTTATATAATGTCCCTTTTATTTTATCACGGAATAAAATTGGAAACAAGCCACAAGGATGTTTGTATTAAGTGGTTAAAAATAAGAATATGTCTAAAAAGGAAAGAAAAGTGAAGGTAAAACTACAATCTCTGGAAACCAAAAAACAATAGCTAAAAGTGGTTACAGGCCTGGGCTTTCACATAAGGAGCACTTGGAATCAAAGCTTCCGTCATCCACTTATAAACTGTGTGAGCTTAGGAAGGTCACTTCATATCTCTGAGGCTCAACCTACTTATCTAAAAAGAGTCTGTAATACCTAATTTATAGAGTTTTGAGGATTAAATAATAGCATATGTAAACTTAATGATGCCAGTGCTTAACCAATGGTAGCTTTAATAATTAAGTATTTCTGTCACTTAAAATGCAGTTTGGGGCTAAATATTATGAGTCTCTGCAAAGAATGTGTGAATTAAATTTTTTTTATCCACTGACTTCATGTACAGAAGTTAACCTGACTCAGTATTGAGCTTCACTGAGCCTGACTACTGGTGGATTATTACCAGTCTTTCTTTTCTCACATGTAAGCAGGAAATGCCATCTCAAGTAGTAGTTTTCAAAGTGCGGTCCTCAGACCAACAGCATTGGCTTCATTCAGGAACTTGTTACAAATGTAAATTCTAAAGCCCCATCCTAGATCTACTGAGTCAGAAACCCTGAGGATGGGGTCCAATAATTGGGTTTTAACAATTATATGAGGATTTCTGACACTGGCTAAAATTTGAGAAACATTCACTCATAGAGATTTGTCAGCTTACTCCCCTAGCTGATATCTGTTGTATAAATAATATGAGCCATTATCAATTAAAATTAGTTAAAAATGAAAAGCAGCAAGAGAAGATTTATGGAAGACCAAGAAGTTTTTACATGAAAAGGGCTTAGAGATTTGTAGGTCTTTGGGGCAGGAATGATGGAAAACATTGACAAGATATTTGGTGATGTTAAATGTATACTGTTTCTATTGATATGAAAGTTCAGTGATCCCAATGTGATTTAGACTCAAAATTCTCAAAACAATAATATTTAGACATGGAATTTATTAAGTATTTAGAATATGATCATTAATGACAATAATATGTGCATCTCATAATTACATCTATGACACGTATATCTGAGATTATTGCTAGATACCAAGAAGGATAAGAATAATCATAAATTAAAAGTTGTTAATATTGATGTTGGAATTAAAAATGGGGAAGTGTAAAGGCAGAAAGGCATGTGCTTGATAATATTTAAGAAACAAAAATGGAGGTAAGAGGGTGAGCATTATTAAAACTTAGATATTAAAGCATCCTAGATAATGTAAGGAAGGAACCAATGTGTTAATCTACTGACTGATTGCAAATGTTCAAATAGATGTTTAAGATTTTTCCAAGAGGATGTAAAAGCAATCATCTTAACTAAATTGCTCATTTGATTATGTTGGAAAATAGCACCAAATATCATTTCTGCTAAGACTCTTTTTCCACACATCTTACTCTCATTAGTTTTCCCTTCCACCCATCCACTCGTATCATGTGCCAATGATGGGGGAACATGTGTGTGGTTTTCTAGCTTGCATGTGTTTAGTTGTGAATGTGTCTGTTTGTTTCCACTAGTGTTCATAGGTGAGAAGTTATTTACCAAGCAACTTGTAGAAGAGTTTGTAGTACATTATTTTAATGTACATATTCTCATGAGTTAGACCGCCTCCAAGAATCAAAGTTATGTCTCACATTCTTGTATCTGTTCACTAGAGGGAATTTATTCACCTAACAATTTTGGATCCTTTGCTAAATTGATAGGAGAAAAAACAGTTTCTCTTTGTTTTACAAAAGTATGTTATACCAAAATTTGAAATAAAACAAATGCGATGATGACATTAAAAATAAATTTGACAGAGACATCCATTAAATAGCCTTAACCTCTGGCAGGTTTAAAATATAGTTTGAATTTCACCTGACTTCTCAGGGCAATATACGTTGCAGAGAGAAAAACTATATTTTCAAATAGAAAAAGTTTCCATGTACTTGGGTAATTGCTAAATCTAATGGCATTATTTTGGCTAAGAGGAAATAATTGATCATCTCCTGGGGGATAGGAATTCACATGTCTTTCTTTGCTTCTCCTATATGCAATTTCCTTATGAATCTAAAGTTTTCAAAATGGCCCAAACTGTGTTCAACATTAAAGGAGAAGCAGCAACACATTCAGAGACACAAAATTCAGGATAATGTGATTAAATTACATTTATGGAGGGAGAATTGGCTCAAATATTCTGAGGTGTTGAAGTGAAAATTATCTAAAATGGAAGTAGCAATCAAAAAGTACTCCTACAGATCTTAGTCTGATAGAAAACACAAAAGAACAGGAAGATACTTGAGCACATTTCAGAAGTACAGTATATTAGCCTTCAGTAACAGAAGAAACCGATTTTTGCTAAAACAAAATAATAATATATATGCAGTGGAGCCTGGTAGATACAAACCAAATAGTAATTTGAGAATGGTATCTAAACTTTATTCTCTTTTTTATCCTCTTGAATGTATAGTTCAAAAAAACAGCTCAAATTGATTAACACTTGCTGGAATAAACATATTTTTTTTCTAATCTAAATAGGCTGTCTCTTTAATGTTATAAAGTAAGCACTGAAGAACTGATTAACACACTAATTATATAAACTATATACTGCAAAGAAGCAGAAAATAACAAGAACCATGAATATAGTTCCTGTCTGACATCATGCATCAGTGTAGGCTTGCAAGCAGTCCAGAAAATCTAAGATATATGGGCTGAAAAGTTAAAAACATGAATAAGGATTTATAAGTCCTATGTAGGGTTTGACCAGTTGGCAAAAATGAATTTTGCTGGCTAGAGAGATCTGTTCTCATTTAGAGGTGGAATTGGAATTCTTAGAGTGTGATATCAAAATCTAGTACCTTCACATCCTCTCTCAATCTGTCCATTGCAGAAAAGGGCATCTGAGATGAGGTCTGGAAGCCGTCCATTTAAATCAACTGATGCCAAGCAGCCTTGAAAGCCCTCCTTGGCATGGACAAGTTTCGGCAAGGATTTGTATGTTTCTTTTGCCACTCCTCCTATATACAAGTCACCTGTTGGGGGGAGATCAAAGTTTCGGTCACAAAAGAAATTTCAAACATACAGTAGGACAGGGGAAAAATAGGTTCACTTTTCATTAAGTTAATTTGAAAACTAAATTTATAACTAGATATTTTCCTAAAATCACAAAACAATAAAAAATGTTTAACGAGTACATGAACACTAGAAGAAATTTCAAGAAGCCACTTCCACAAAGAATGAAATTAGTTCCATATGGTGTGGCCAAGTAGAAGGAACATGGACCATGAGTTGTATATTCATTCCAACATTGAAATCCGATCCTGAGCCTGCTTATTTCCAACTCTGTGGCTTTGATGATTTTTTTCCTTCCTTCTGTTTCTCTGATCATTAGTAGCCTCATTTCTAAAATAGGAGTAATAAAACCTATTCCATAGGGTTATATGAGAATTAAATTAGATAAAATATAGTAAGTCTCCATCATAGCAAAAATATGTAGTAGACATTCAATAGGTGTTATGATTAAATCTATCTTCTACTTAGACAAGTCTGAGTCTTTCATTTAATTAGAAGTTCAACAAATTCTCTCAAGAGTCTAAAATTACTTTTTCTACTATGGTTAAGCCCATTATCTATGATCTTATTCACTAACTCACTCCCACAATAGTTTGGATATACCAGAATGCTTTGTCCTTTTTCAGGTATTTCTTCTTTAGCTAAAGTTATACCACTTTGAATTCTTTATGTTGTACTGAGATCTGTTAACAAGTTACCAATTAATTATTTTCCAATTTTATTGCAGTTTCTAATGGAACACTTCACTCTACTGTGCCATCTTTATGCCTCTAGGTTTATGAGTTACTACTTTAAAAAATAAATTGTATTACATGTCTATCATAGATTATTCACCATATCTAAATGGCATTGAGTAGATGTCATTAAAGGACTAGAGTCCATTAAACAATTAATCATGCACAACATAAGGAAGATTACCCCAGAATTCCATATGATACTGCTCCTGTTTACAAGTTCTGGTAAACATACTCTTTTTAGCTACTTCTCTGACTTTTTATTGTCATTTGAATTTTCTCTCTCACATTAACCATTCTATCTATCTTTCATGCCACTTGATACCTTTTCCCCATTTTAACACAAACCCCTTACACTTTTAACATTTATCTGGACCTCTCTGTGTTGTCTTCTTGGGACTTGGGAGCGAGGAGTATTGATACATATGCAGATGCTCTTGCTGTTCGTTTCATCCTGAGTAATAAAAGTCCTTGGCCTCTGACCCAGAAATCTCATGTCTTCTGCTAGCATCCTGGATATTATATTAATAATCTAATCTATTAGCTTATAGGTAGGGTAAAACTTAATCCACAGATATAACAGTTTTGAATTATATTGATGAGTGCATTGAGCTTGCTGAAAGTCATGTCACTGTAATGACTAAGAACTTAGGTTCCAGACCTACCCGCTAAGGCTCTAACTATTACACTAGGATATCATTAATCCACATAATTCATACTGAAGGTATTTCCTCCACCTTTTAAATAACAGAAAATATCTATTGACTATTAATTACAAATATTAAAAGATAGCATGTTCTTGGTCTGATATGGAACACTATTTTTGAAATACTTGTTTTCTCCATATTTTCTTTCTCTCCTTAGAGTTTCCTTTCTCTTATATTCCAAGCCATTGTGTTTTAGTTGCCTCAGAAAAGGGATATGAATCATAAGCTAAAGATAAAATTATCTTCCTGTATTTGAGTCTTAAAAGCCAAGAATTTTAGAGGACTGAAATAGATAGAATATACATGCAATTACATAAGACTAAAGCTTCTCTGCCTCTCCTGTGGGTTAGCAGGACAGAAAGTGGAGAAAAAATGTGAACATAGTCATTGGCGAATGCCTGAAAGAAGACATAGTGCTCCAATTTGAGGGCTGAGCCATGCGGGATGTTAAAATCTCAGGTAGGCTTATGCGGTAATGTTGATCTTTGTGCATTTCCTCAAGAAAGCCCAGAAGCAACAGTGAGATCCTTGAGAAGAAATGGCTGCTTGGTAAATTTAGACAAGCTGAGAGTTTGAGGCAGACTCACAAAACTTCCCATATTCCACTGTGGTGTGGGAGAAACAGAACAATCCCTCGAGTGGCACAAAAATAAGCAGAAAATGACTGACCTGCAGGGGTTATGCATGCAAAAATGAAGGTGCTGGTTAGTAATTCAGTGGGCACCTGACCTATAAATACAGACTATCCAAGATCAGCTTCTGTACAATCTCCCTCTACCTCTCCCAAAATTGGTACATTGGGAAGTCCCCCACACAAATTAATTCAGACAGAATCCCAGGGAAATAGGGAAACTAAAATTGCCTGAGATTATATTTTCCCTAAATCAACAAATCAGAGCTCAAAGTAGAAACCAAGGTGAGTTGCAGGAAAATAAAGTCAGATTTCTTGCACATCTGAGATTGTGGGCTGAGATTTGTATTGTTACATATCAAATGTCAATGCAAGGAAATGCTCCCTACATTCATTTATTAAACTAAATTTGTAAGGAAAATTCAGCTCTCCTCCAGACTTAATAAATGTAGTTGAATAAAGAATTCTTGGCACTGCTGCAGATAGAGAACTGAGTACTGAATTAGATATGGGACACCATATATTTGATAACCAGTCTGGTTCTTTGTGATTATACCCTCCTGGAGGAGAGAGGCTGTGTCTGTTTTAGATTCTCCCACAGTGCCTTGTGCTGGGCTATCTGCACAGTGGGCATTCAAATATTGTTGGCCACCTGAGGGATTGAGGTCACAGTACAAAAGAAGAAACAAAGAAGACTGGCAAGGCAACACATAGGGAGAGAGCTAATTCTAAAATGCTTTTACCTCCTTTCTGCACTTCCGGCCACAATCCTTTCTTCCTATTAGCAAACTTATTTGTTGAACAACTCTTAAAGCTTATTAAAGAAAAGTAGTAAGCTTTCCCTTGTGTTACTAAAGAGCAGGAAATATTGATTCAAGCTACACAGGATACAAGCCTCAAACATGCCAAGGTGGGTGCATTTGGCGTTGTAAGTACGGGCATCACTCCCATTTTCATTACTGAACCTGCACTTAGCACCACCACCTAATACTGTCTTTATAAACTCTTCATACTGCAGAGAGCGGTCTAAAGTCTCCTGTTGGGTTGCCATATGAAGAGAACAAAGAAAACCTTTAAGTGGCCTGAGACCTGTGTAGTATTAGCACTTCATCAAAGACGAAGCTTCTCCTTTTGATTCTTAGGGAGGTAGGAAGTAAATGACCCATTAGCACTAATGGGATCTTTCTTACAGGTGGCATCCTGTGCATGGGGTGGGGGGAGGTATGCTTTTTAACGACCCTTGTGTGAGCAAGAGCCAGGATGGACATCTAGTAAGAGCAAGTTTCCTATAGACTTGAAGCCATCCTGTTACCCATTCTTCAAGCTATGCGTGCTTTTTATTCAGATCCTTAGGCAGATTACGTATGCAACTGACAAGACAACAATAGAGTTGGGACATTTTTTCACAGAAGATTCAGAGAACATGTATAAATTAAGCCGGATAATCTCAGACATTTGGGGAGTGTTTTGTTGGGTTTTTTTTTTTTAACATCAAGAATACCCTTATCTTTAGCACCAGTGCATGTATATGCACATGAATGACCTAAGGTGATATCACAAGTATCCATTCCCTGGTAGTTGGGCAGTAATGAGTAGGAAGTAGTGCACAGGCTTTTTAGTTATACCTGCTACAAACCCTGGCTCTGCCATGCACTGGTTGTCTCAGTGTAGGCACATTGTCACATAACTTCTTTAAGAGTCAGAGTTTTCATCAGCACAATAGGTAAATAATGCCTCCCTATGAGAATTATAAAGAATGTGTGTAAGCATTGGGATATAGCATGCACTCAGCCCATCAGTGCTACTGGTGTGGTTGTGTTGGTATGTCTGGTAAGGGCTATACATCTATAGGGTATCTCATTCTATGTTGCTTGCACTGAGAGATACAGAAGAGTAAATCCAGGTTGTCCCCTTGTTTCTAGTGCAACTGGAACATCAAGATGTCAAATTTACATGTCTTATTTTACTTGATTTAGTTTGCTGTAATCTGTATACTATACTAGAGGTGTCTTGCACTATATGATAAGCAGCTCAAGAGGCTCTGTTGACATTTTCAGTCTGAAACCCAGCAGCATTGAAGCTGGTAACATAAACAGGACAGTTGCTTGATAAGTATCTCCTAATCCGATATAGACAGATTAAGAAACACAAGAATTATATGAAGTTCAAGGGTCAGGTTGTTAAGTTCATGCTAGATGGGGCTTATAAGAGAAATAAAAGGCTTTTATGGACTTTGATTGTAAGGTACAGCATCATGGGAGGGTTAAGATCGGAAGACAGTACAGGATACATTATGTGGTAATAACATAAATATAGGTGGCAGGCATAGGAAACAGCACAGGTATACCATGAAGACAAAGTGAAGATAACATTCAAAAAAGAGCATAAAGGCTTGGTGGGAAGAATTTTTAAAAGGGACCCAGTTAAATAGTGTTGGATAAGTAAAGTCAAAAGAAAGGCTTGCATAACGCAATAGAACTTAAGGCTACTGATTTAAAAACAAAACAAAGAAATGTTTAAAAAATGGTTAAATCCAAATATACAAGCCACATCGGCTAGAGAATGAGGGTATTGAAACAGTAACAGTTTAGGAAGAAGAAATAAAATTATATATTTAACATTAACCTCATGGAATTTGAGTAGGAGTGTCCTATAGGGATTGGATGATGTAAATTGGGGGCTTAGGGAAGAAGTAGCAGGGCTGTGAGGCGTGGCTTGGGAGCCATCAACGAAAAACAGATGAAGTGCTGTAAGAGGTTTTCTCTTAAAACTGGGAGCATAAGGCAATTAGAGCAAGGACTCCAAGGTCTGCCTTACAGCAGCAGAAAGCAAGCATCAAGGTATAATTAGCTCTTTGACTCAGCTTTCCTGTTTATTCACATGGATTT